GCTACATCACCATCGGCTACCGCGGCTCCTACACCATCGGGCGGGACGCGCAGGCGGACGCCAAGTTCCGGCGAGTGGCGCGCATCACCGTGTGCGGCAAGACGTCGCTGGCCAAGGAGGTTTTTGGGGACACCCTGAACGAAAGCCGGGACCCGGACCGTCCCCCGGAGCGGTACACCTCGCGCTATTACCTCAAGTTCAACTTCCTGGAGCAGGCCTTCGACAAGCTGTCCGAGTCGGGCTTCCACATGGTGGCGTGCAGCTCCACGGGCACCTGCGCCTTTGCCAGCAGCACCGACCAGAGCGAGGACAAGATCTGGACCAGCTACACCGAGTACGTCTTCTGCAGGGAGTGAGCTCCCCAGACCCCGTCGCCACTCCAGCGCCCACTCCTTTTCCTGCCCGAGAGATGATTACAGAGCCTCTTGTCCTCGCTCTGTCCCCCAGCTGCCCCTCTCCCAATCTCCCCCTCCAGTATTAGCTGGCTGAGACCTGTCCGCCCACCTTCCCTCCACTTCAGAACCTGCAGCCGCAGATCCTCTCGGCTGCTTCATCTTCTTTGGACCTCCTGAACCTAGAGAACCCAGAGGAACCCCCACCCCACCCCCACCTACCACTCCATGCTTCCTCTACTCCCTGCCTCAAACCACCCCTCCCCCAGATGGTACTTCAATCTGGATCTATTGGGGCAGTGTGGCCACAGAGTCACCAAGTACCTGGGAATGATTGAATTGTTCAGAACCTGATTGGAGCATGTCCAATGTGCGGAAGATTTCCTTGAAATCTTCTCAAGCTCTTATGACTCACTGGGGGTTGAAGAGATCAGGATTGTTTCCACTGTCTGGGGTTAGTGTTTTACAAGGTCATTACACAGTCTTTTTGACCTCTTTTGAAGGTAGAATTTTAGAAGGCTGGATGGAAGATTCTGAGCCTGGAATTAGGACCCCATGGAGGCAGTACAGTAACTAAACGAATAAAGTTTTGAAAAGTTACACGTGAAGTAGAAGAATCTAGTGCTGGTGTACGTGACCCGGCGCTGCACGGTGGTGTCGGTGCCCGACTCGCTGCTCTGGCGCATGTTCACGCAGCAGCAGCCGCAGGAGCTGGCCCGGGACAGCAAAGGCCGCTTCTTTCTGGACCGGGACGGCTTCCTCTTCCGCTACATCCTGGATTACCTGCGGGACTTGCAGCTTGTGCTTCCCGACTACTTCCCCGAGCGCAGCCGGCTGCAGCGCGAGGCCGAGTACTTCGAGCTGCCAGAGCTCGTGCGCCGCCTCGGGGCGCCCTTTTTTCCCTTCTTCCAGGCTGGCTGTAAGGCAACTTGAACAAAATCTGGCTGCGCTCGGACTGGGGCGGCCCTTTCGTCTCTCCAGGTTTTTCGCGTCTCT